ATATTGATGTCCATCGCTTTGAGAAGCCTCTTGACTTCAGGATAAGTGTGGGTGATATTGATGTCTATTGTTTTGAGAAGCCTCAGAACTTCAGGGTAAGTGTTGGTGATATTGATGTCTATTGCTTTGAGAAGCTTCACAACTTCAGGGTAAGTGTTGGTGATATTGATGTCCATCGCTTTGAGAAGCCTCACAACTTCAGGGTAAGTGTGGGTGATATCGATGTCCATTGCTTTGAGAAGCCTCACAACTTCAGGGTAAGTGTGGGTGATATTGATGTCCATCGCTTTGAGAAGCCTCACAACTTCAGGGTAAGTGTGGGTGATATTTTGCTTTGAGAAGCCTCATGACTTCAGGGTAAGTGTGATATTGATGTCCAATGCTTTGAGAAGCCTCATGACTTCAGGGTAAGTGTTGGTGATATTGATGTCCATTGCTTTGAGAAGCCTCACAACTTCAGGGTAAGTCTGGGTGATATTGATGTCCATTGCTTTGAGAAGTCTCACAACTTCAGGGTAAGTGTGGGTGATATTGATGTCCATCGCTTTGAGAAGCCTCAAAACGTCAGGGTAAGTGTTGGTGATATTGATGTCCATCGCTTTGAGAAGCCTCACAATTTCAGGGTAAGTCTGGGTGATATTGATGTCCATTGCTTTGAGAAGCCTCACAACTTCAGGGTAAATTATGCACTTCTGTCTGTAATGAAATCGCATATTTGGATTTTCATCTTCGTGCATCTACACTTCTTATAATCTGTTTATCTACCTAAAATAAGTCTTATTCCAAATTGGTTCTAGCTTGTTTCAGAAAAATGTATAATTATTTTATAACCACTGAAAAATTTGGGACTTTAATATGTAGACATCAAGGAACTTTAATATGTTGACATCAAGGGAGTTTAATATGTAGACATCAAGGGACTTTAATATGTAGACATCAAGGGACTACTTGGTCAATCAAAGCACCAACTCTTGAGAAAAGTATGTTTAAACCCACCCTGTATTTTTGTCAATTTTCATTTTAAATTGTTGTAAAGTGCTGGGCTCCACTACTGCTGATGGCAACTCATTCTAAAAGCCAAACACCCCTCATATGAGGCATTTATCCTATCGTTGCCATGGACAATCTTGAAAACTTCAATAAGATCACTTCTTAATGTTCTAGGTGTTGCCTAAGGTTAGTGTGCTGGACAGTGAATCCAAGAGTCCATGGCTTATGTCCTGTTGTTTTAAAATCATGTTTTATACTTTTGGGCTGAGGGTGTATTCTTAGAGTGAAGGTTAAATTCCATTGTTCAATGTCTTGACAGTTGAATTGCTGCCTTCTTTCTAGTCTGTCAGTTTAAAATTAAGCATATGCAGCTTTATGTAAATATAACAAACAATCAGTTATGCTACTAGGTGGGTTGCCATCTACATAACATTTGTTACAGGTTATGATAACCCAAATGCAGTACCTCGCATTTATGATAATTAAAGGTCATTTGCCAAATATTTGGCCATCTTACCAGTTTATCCAGGTCTTTCTTTAGTACATCAGTGTCTCAGTACTCACTTCAATAGTATTATAGAACTTTATAAAAAAAATAAAACTGAAGTTAATACTTTAGAATTAGTGTTAAAGACCATGTGACACTTACTCAATTTATTCATCATAACCTAATTAGGACTAAAAATTTATCATACCCAACTTAGGTTGGGCAATTTTCTGAACGAATTGTATGGATGTTCACCTTTAATGAAAACCTGAACAGGATTTTTACCAGAACAGCCTATTCAGTTGTATTTTTACGTAGCAGAGGTAGGGGATGATGATGATGTGAATGTTGCTTTGAGAAGTTTTCTTACAAAGAAGGAAGAAGTAATAAACTCGTCATAGTTGTGATAAAAGATTTATACTATCCAATAAATAGATGAGGTAAATTTTTAGTAATATTTTGCTCATTTGACTCTTTATCAGTTTCAGTATTTTATATGTAAATTAATGGTTTTTTTGCTCGTAAAAATGTATTGGCCCAATTTTAGATTAGTTAATTTTGTCGGCAAAATTTCAACAAACTATTAACATATAAAAAATCAATTTGTGGAGACTTTGGGGGTAGTTTTAGAGTGGTTATTGGGAGATGTGGCTGTGTTTACCAGTTACTTAGGTTTAGGTTTAAATTTGTGTAGGCTGTAACCTTTGAAGAGGATTGAGTTAGTAGTATTAAGTATTTTTTAAGGTGTTCATTTTTACATGTAAAGTGATGGAAGTTAATTTAGGTTTCAATAGGACTTTTTATTAATTTAAGTTTGTCAGTTTTTGCTTATTGATTGAAAGATGTAAGTAGTTCTGTATGATTTTAATATCGAATGCAAATATGAATCTATTAGGATGAAATTAGCCTATCTTTCAAGTGTAAACTATATTGGTGGGGGAAGTGGATGTTAACTAAGAAAATGTAAAAGAAAGTTCTTAAAATGTCCTGTTTGAAGTGATTTCACTTTGAGATATATTTAAAGACAGCTTAAAAGATTAGTTGCTTTTATCGTGTATCATTACCTTCTAAACAACAGAATTTAACTGTTACTTTGCTGTCAGGTTTAGATTTTTTACTTTGTTGTTCAGTCACTTGTTACGAAACTTCTGTTACTCATTTCTTTAATGAGTGTGAAGAAGATGGCTGACATTTTTGTTTATTTTTCGATGTTCAGACCCACAACTTTAAAGGCCTACCTTGGTGTGACCTGTGTGGAAACTTCATGTGGGGGATTATTGCTCAAGGTGTTAAGTGTGAAGGTAAGTGTGAATACCTTGGTGTGACTGGTGTGGAAACATTATGTGGGGGATTATTGCTCAAGTTGTTAAGTGTGAAGGTAAGTGGGAAACCATGTTGTTAATCTTGTGGAAACTTTATGTGGGGGGATTAT